TAGTAATAATTTATTCTGATATCGTAGCTAAATGTTTTCAAATTCTTAAAATGTATTGCTACTGAACAAGCTTTCTAAATCAAGTATGTTTTATAATTTATGATCCTTCCTTGGCAGGACGAGTGTTTCATATCAGCTTAGATGTTTATGACAAAAAAACAAAAACAAACAAAAACAAAAAACGAAAAACGAAAAATACAGAAAATATCGGAACATAATTTACTGGAAGTTATTTTGGCGTTAGAGAATTTTCTAAAGACTGGCTGGATTTTGGATTGTAATTCTAAAGATAAAAACTTAATCAAGATTGAAATAATGGACATTTAGAACATTAGCAACAGAATAGCGAGAAAGGAACAATCGTTGCGAATTCAAGATGGCGACAAATGAGTTGAAGCCATGTTAAAAATCTTAGAAAGTACCGATTTGAACTTCTCCACAACGAACTTAGACAAACTGGATTTGTATATCATTAGTAGTGCTCCTCAGTGGTGCTAAACTAACAATTAGTAAATAAAAGCTCACGGCGATATCACCCGATCACTCGTTAAGTGATATCTAACTTAGTACTTAGGTGGGTAATTGATTTGTAATACCAGATACTGTATACTCTCTATTTGGATGCTGTCATATGAGGTAATTATTAAGCAAGCTCGTCTGGTTGACCATTACGTCTGTGTAGTGAGTTCGATCCTCATATTTACTCACTTGTTACCTTGTAACAAAACTAAAATTAGTGAATCACAAAGATAATATTTGTAAATAGTCTCTCTTTCACACACACGAATATGAAGGCAAACAAATGTTGAGAGCATCTAACCGTGACTGTATCTTTACCGTGTTCTGTTTCACACAAACTGCTTTATATTTTGTAGTCGTCAGTGCATTCATTTTAGTAGATCGCCTGCTTATTATAGTTTTAATGGAGTATTAAAATGACCAAACCGTGAGCAAGATATACTATCTATTTATATAAATACTTCAGAATTATCGCCAATGTCAGGCTGATTTGGATTTGCTAAACTTGAATGATTTGGCGGAAATATATTTAAAAAACGAATCGCTAATGTAAATAAATAGAAAACAGTAATAATGAATGATACTTTTCAAGATCTTTCAGGAAGAGTATGAATATAAACATGATTAGGTAACTATATTTCTCAGATGAGATATTGTAATTATTTATACTATTTACATTGTTCGGACTATTTTCCTCATCTTGTTATTCTAGTTCCACATGACAGGTCTCTTCCGGATATCTCGGTATCAGTTATTTCCCTTTAACTTAACCCTCCAAGTAGCCAGGTATTGAACATAGCCATTTCACCAGAATAAAATTGAAAGAGTGAAAAGTTAAATCAGTATTTACGTCTTGCAAAAGAAGTGAAGAAACTTGATTGTAAAAATGACAACTGTACCTCTCATTATTATCGAAGTGCCTAGAATGGTTCTCAGGTTCATTGCAAGAATATTGGAAAAATCAATTCAAAGATCAGATCAAAGGATTATTAAAATCAGCAAGAGTGGCAAGCAGAGCTCCGGTTTCCCGAGGAGACTTACTGAAACTTTTATCTCTCGCAAATGCTACAAGACTGTGCGAAAAAAACCAACAAGTACAAATAATATCAACAAGAACGCTATAAGCGATCGTTGGTGGAAATAAATTTCTTGCAATGGAACATTCTTATCTCAGCTGGTCAGTTTTTGACTCTTGAGAACTGACAGTTTAAACGGATAAATATCTTCACGTATTGACTGCTGTACTATCAACCACAGATTCCAAAGATCGCCCCTTTTGATTTGTTTACTTCAGAAAATGAACTTTTCGTGTTTTCTCTAATTTATATGAAAGACTGGCAGTGAAATTTTCATAAAGAGTTTAGTATATCCAATGATATTTCGAAACAGATGAATAATTTTCGAAATATATAAATAATTTTAGAAATCGAATCCAATAATGCCATTATAAGGTTTCCAGGTATTTTCGATTAGCCGTATGTAGATTATTATAAAATTTTCGTGTGTATCTTTTCAGTTAGTTTTTAAAGGCTGTTTACCGATTATCAACTTTATTTTTAAATTTCAGTCGTAACTACTAGTCTGTGACTATGCCATCATTTATACAATACTGCTTGATGAGGACTTTCAAAGTGCCTACATTAATTAAATTAATTCCATTGGGTCTAATTTTGATCATTTAGATATTGCATTTGTCCTTATAATATAGACGTAAAAAAAATTATCAAAATGCTGAAACTGTATACATTGTATCTTTATCTCGTGGGGAGAAAACTGAGAAAGATTATGAATATTGCAGTCGTAAATCTTATCATATTTCCTGTATTAAAAGTCCACTTGCAGATAACATTCGCTGATAAGAGAACATTTACTGTCCCTAAACAACAGAAAGAAAACAAAACTACAAAAAACTCTAATTTATTAAACTAACTGGTGTCTACAAATTATGCTTTCTGGGCGAGAGTAAATCAAATTTGATTGGTTTACTTTCCTTCCTCTTCCCTAATTAGCATGCACCGCGCTTAGCAAGCCCCATGAAGCTTATTCTGTACAGAGAACAGTCTATTGGTAGACGCCGCGAAGAGAAAATATATTCCTGACGTGTGAGGAGACACAGCATCTACTGAACTTATGAATTATAACATCCTCTGTGACACCCACTAGTTTTTCTTTGCAGAATCGAGGAGAAACATATAATAATATAATATATATTTACATTTTATAACATATTTCTAAACTTTATTAGCATGTTATCTTTGCAGAAAATTAAAACTTCATTTGTATTCTTCCGACTTCTCTCTAGCCATCTTTATTTTTTAAATAAATGTTTGGGCAAATCTCTGTAAGAACTATGAATGTTACCAAGGCCATGCACATATATTCGGTAATCCAATAATAATTTTATACATGAAATGCTTTTTTATATAAAAAAAAAAGTTTTCTATAAATAAAAAAAAATAAACATATAAAAAATTAGTTTTAAAATATTTTCAAATCACTCTCTTTCATACTATTTAATTTATTTTTAACCTGATAAAAGTAAAGAGAGTGTACATACCGTAACCATGAATATATTCCACACGAAGTATCCAGGCCGTCGCGCTGCCCGACATTTTACGGAAAGTGCCGACCGCCGGACAGTTGCGTCCGCTTGGTCAATCGCTAACTCCTTCTTTTCAGTCTCCGTGTGCATGTAAAGGTGCCATTCCTGTTCATCTACAAACGATTGCCGGTTCACCACATGATGTTCGTCAATATCTTCAATTAATTCCACTTCATAAGATGGGAGTTCTGATGCTACCGTCACAGTGAGATCCTAAAACAAATAGAAAAAGATTAATGTCTATAAGTTTATTTTCTTTTAGCACAAAAGAAAAACTTAAAACAACAGAAATGTTCATGTATCATTTAGATATTGTATTTGTCCTTATAATATAGAAGGATGCTGAGAATACCACGGATCGAACATGTGAAAAACGACGAAATTTTAGTGAAAATGAAAACAAAAAGGTCACTTATACATAACTTCCGGAAGAGACAGATGAAATTTCTAGGGTACATAATGAGAACAGAGGGTTCGGTAAATGTTATACTCACAGGGCTGATTGAAAGCGAGAGGGACAGATGAAAACAACGCATAACCTACCTGGCGAGCTTGAGTAGATGGAAGGCGGGGCAGGGTTTGGGAGACAAAATTTATTAAGATCTACAAAGGACAATAATTTATGGAGAACCATGATCACCTACGCCCTGAAAGGACACGGCATATAGAAAAAGAAAAAGAATAAAAGGAAAAGAATAAAAGGAAAAAGAATAAAAGGAAAAAAGAAGAAAAGTTAAAAGAATAAAAGAAGAAAAGGAAAAAAGAAGAAAAGGAAAAAGAATAAAAGGAAAAGGAAAAAGAAGAAAAGGAAAAAAGAAGTAAAGGAAAAAGAAGTAAAAGAAAAAAGAAGAAAAGGAAAAAAGAAGTAAAGGAAAAAGAAGACATACAGTAATGGAAAGGATCAATGTAATAGTGAAATATACAACTAAAAGTACACTCTGAATAAATACATCTGTATTCGATAATGTGAAATTAATTATTTGTTTATATATATATAAAGTGACGCAACACATTAAATGATAACCATATACTTGAGGTTCAATGTACTAGTGCTGTTCAGGAGACGTTATCAGTAAGTAAATGATTTACAGTTTACATCTCTCACCAGAAAGACCACATATTTTTTCTAGAATATTGTAATCGAATCCGATCATTGCAAATTTGTACACTTTTATAAAAAGATTATTAATAGACTGCTTTTTTAATCCTTTTAACCCAAGCAAGGCAATAAAGTCACTGAGACGCAAGGTGTTACTGAATGTTAGAAAATATAAGAAAAAGGAGAGAGAACAATAAAAGAAGAAAAATTAAGAAGACAAAATAACGATTGACAGTAACTTTAAAGTTTTGAAGATCAAAGTTGACTAGAAAGCAAGAAGCCAGAATAGAGTTCCACAAGCGAGAAGTGCGATAGAAGAAACTATTAACATAGAACTCACGGTTTTATCTATCAGTGGCGTGCAGAAGTTTGGTGATACCCAAATCCAACTCATGCCTCTAAGTCTAATTAGTGGTGGGGGTGGCGATGGTGCTTAGTATTGAGAAATGTGAAAAAAAAGAAGACGGTAGGTCGTTTGTACAACGAAGTTAACAGAGAATTTCAAATTTCAAAAACTAAATTTTTATTTCACTCTTTGATTGGATGCCTTCCCGATATGGATGCTCGAGGCCGTCGCACCCTCTGTCCCCACCTTCTGCACGCTACTGACATCTAGCCATTTCAACTGTAAAATATCAAACAGTAAAATCGCTGTTTTTAGAAAACCTTTGATTAAAAGAAAATAGCCGAGAAATATATTCCTTTAACTTTGGCGTAAAGTTTCAGGAAAAATGTTTCTTTAGAAAAAAAGTAATAAGAGGAAGAATTAATGAGAAGAGGTTATTGAATGGCATGGAAGAAAAGTAGAGAGAGAATGAAGATGAGAGGGAGAGAGAGAATGAAGATGAGGAGGAGAAAGAGAGAATGAAGATGGGAGGGAGAGAGAGAATGAAGAAGAGAGGGAGAGAGAGAGAATGAAGATGAGAGGGAAAGAAAGAATGAAGATGAGAGGGAGAGAGAGAATGAAGATGAGGGGGAGAAAGAGAGAATGAAGATGAGGGGGAGAAAGAGAGAATGAAGATGGGAGGGAGATAGAGAATGAAGATGAGAGGGAGAGAGAGAATGAAGATGGGAGGGAGAGAGAGAATGAAGATGAGAGGGAGAGAGAGAATGAAGATGACGGGGAGAAAGAGAGAATGAAGATGGAGGAGAGAGAGAATGAAGATGAGAGGGAGAGAGAGAGAATGAAGATGAGGGGAGAAAGAGAGAATGAAGATGAGGGGGAGAGAGAGAATGAAGATGAGAGGGAGAGAGAGAGAATGAAGATGAGAGGGAGAGAGAGAATGAAGATGACGGGGAGAAAGAGAGAATGATGATGGGAGGGAGAGAGAGAATGAAGATGAGAGGGAGAGAGAGAATGAAGATGACGGGGAGAAAGAGAGAATGAAGATGGGAGGGAGAGAGAGAATGAAGATGAGAGGGAGAGAGAGAATGAAGATGAGGGGGAGAAAGAGAGAATGAAGATGGGATGGAGAGAGAGAATGAAGATGAGAGGGAGAGAGAGAGAATGAAGATGAGGAGGAGAAAGAGAGAATGAAGATGGGAGGGGAGAGAGAGAATGAAGAAGAGAGGAGAGAGAGAATGAAGATGAGGGGGAGAAAGAGAGAATGAAGATGGGATGGAGAGAGAGAATGAAGATGAGAGGGAGAGAGAGAGAGAATGAAGATGAGAGGGAGAGAGAATGAAGATGAGGGGGAGAAAGAGAGAATGAAGATGGGATGGAGAGAGAGAATGAAGATGAGAGGGAGAGAGAGAGAATGAAGATGAGAGGGAGAGAGAGAATGAAGATGAGGGGGAGAAAGAGAGAATGAAGATGAGGGGGAGAGAGAGAATGAAGATGGGAGGGAGAGAAAGAATGAATATGAGAGGAAGAGAGAGAATGAAGATGGGAGGGAGAGAATGAATGAAGATGAGAGGAAGAAGATTAGAGGAAGAGAGAGAAAGAAGATTAGAGGGAGAAAAAGAATGAAGTTGAGAGGGAGAGAAAGAATGACTATGAAAGGAAGAGAGCGAATGAAGGTGAGAGAGAGAGAGAGAAAGAATGAATATGAAAGGAAGATAGGGAATGAAGAAGAAAGGGGAAGAAAGAATGAATATGAGAGGAAGAGAGAGAAAGAAGATTAGAGGGAGAGAGAGAATGAAGATGAGAGGGAGAGAAAGAATGATTCATTGAGAGGAGAAAAGAAATGGTAAATTTCAATCAGAAAAAGAAGACGATGAAAAGAAAAAGAAACAATATATATAAATTTAATACTTCATATTTTTTATTTTGAATCTTTCGGCAAAATCTATATACAGCATTCCATAGCCCTCTAGGTAGAGCTATAGACGCTTGTCACGATGGGTATCTGTTCATCACGAGAACCTAAAGGCTGATAGTCCTAAGGTCGTCATTCCACAATCGACTATGTCAGCAAACTCGAATGGCTTGGATTCAATATTTTCTTACTCTTAGTCTGGCTGTCATCTAAGGTTAACCAAATTCACACTCATCCCTATTATTTAAACCAGTAGTTCTCAACCTTTTTCTATTCATGGTCCCCTTTTGATTAATGATGTTTTTGATGACCCCCACCCGCCTCCTAGCCGTTTACTTTAACAAAAACTCATTTCACAATTTCCGGAACAAATAAGAAGTGATATTTCTCCATATAAACTTCAAAACTGATTGTTTGAAAAATAAATAAATAAATAAATGAAATAAACCTTTATTTCGGAAAAAAAAGTTTTGTTTTTAATTTGACTATCGGATGAGGGCGCATCTGTTCACTAGTATAGGTATAATTACTAATATCTGATATAATAACATAGTTATAATTATGCATATAACTGTTGTATAAGATTGTATTGTAACTTTTTATTGTAAAATTGTATTGTAATTTTATTTATCTTGTATTGTAACATTGTATTGTAACTTTGTATTGTATATAACTATTGTATAACATAGTTATACAGTAACAAATATAATAACAATCACTAATAATTTCACTAGTATAGGTGTTTGAGGCATACCGACGTCAGAAAAATAATTGTTTTATTTTATTTCTTGTACTGTTATTTCCTATTAACAAATCAGCATAATAAATAATGAAAAAAGGGAACTTAATATAAATGGCTATTGTCAGTTGGTAACTCTCTGTGGATCATTCAATCAGTAAATGGAAGTAAAGCTCAAAAATACAATTTAAGTTTATTAGAACTAAAATATTGAGGGCAAAAGGGTTGTAGCACTGTGGCCAGTTTCATTGAACTTGCGGTTCCCCAAATACCAATTTTTTTCGGTGGATCCCATAGATTTTGTTAGGTTCTTTATAAGAACCGCTGATTTAAACCATAATTCGTGGGACAAGAGATAGGTTTATATAATTTCCAAGATCATTAGTGCGGAGTATACTAATAGACTAATGGAAATATGCGCAAAAGACATAGCTTTGATATTTACTTTGTTTAGCACTGTACAGTACACATCCAAATAGATGTAAAAAGACAGGGTTACCCCACTCTTCTACGTGGAAAATGTTGACTTGTCTGGATTATCACTTCTAAAAATCCTGTTATTCCTGGATTCGAACATTGATCCCATGTCATTTCCAGCGAATAAAAATGTCTGAATATTAATGTGCTTTTTAAAATCATTTCACCCTATTCAAGGCAATAAAGCCACTAAGGCGCAAGGAGGGTATTGAGTTAGAAAATATTAGAATAAAAACACTAGTAAGGAGAGAGAGAGAGAGAGAGAGAAAGAGAGAGAGAGAGGGAGGAAATAAAAAGACAGTAGATAACGATTGACACAGCATTTAAATTTTTGAAGAGCAAAGTTGATTGGGAAGCAAGAAGCCGGTAGAGAGATCCACAAGCGAGAAGTGCGATAAAGAAAACTGTTAGCATAGAACTTAGGGTTACATTTAACCATTTCGACTGTAAAATGATGAGACCTTGGGACCAATTTTATTTCCAAGTTCTACCAAGATCCCTGACACATTGGCGGTAGAACGGGAACAAGCAACATGGGCCACAGAACGAGAACAATCTACCCTCGTAGATTATATAAAAGGATTCAGTTCGATGTTCCCTGGAGATTATCCAGATCGACAATCATCTGACGAAGGTCAAACTGCACAATCGCCGAAACGTTGATAGCAACAACAAAGATTGTGACAATAATCAGCATGCAAATAATGTAAAAATGATAACAAACATTTCTATTATAATAAGAATCTGAAAATATGACAGTTACAGACAGTTTGGTCAGTCTCAGAATTTGGGGGATACGGAATTATCATTATTTACATAACAACATAGATGAGGACAATAGTCTGCGTGTAAATAGTGTAAATAAGCTCAAAATTTGTCTATAGAGTCTATTTGAATATAGAGATGAGGTATTGTATTTATTTTACACTATCGACATTGTTCGGCTTATTCTTCACATCTTTATTGCTATATTCACGACGTTTCGGTCGTTGTACGATATTTGTTAGTATTTCGAACCGAATCCTTTATTTAATTCCACGTGCCATACCTTTTGATATCCCAGTTTTAGCTAATTCCCCATCGATCACCCAACTCTTCAAATTTTTTCTTCCCTCTGTCCTGAACTCGCAACTCTTTAGATCAAATCACTTCTGGATCAGTCAACCAACACTTTTATCAACTGGGTCAGTGAGTGAAATTTTGGGACTTGTAAAGTTAATGTCTCAGTAACCATTTTTACCAGAGCTCATATTACGATTTTTTGTTATTGCTGTTTTTCTCTAGAGCTTTGTATTACTGGTTCCCATACTGTATTCACTTTTATGCTTGCCCGTTTTTGTGGCCTTGTTAGGGCCAGAAAGACACAAAGAGAGGAATCGAGTTAAACAAATATATTAACAGAAACAGTAATACAAACATATACAAACGAGAGTGTTACAGCAAGAATGTTCGGTTCGACTGCTGGAAACTCCCCCGCTCCAAAAGGCAGTACCTGCTCCTATTTATAGTTGGGAAAATCCATGCGTGCGTGGGTAAATTACCACAACAGCCGGCTTAGGAGATTTTTGCAGGCTAGCATATGCGCTGATGCCTTAAGTTTTCTTATTTCCCAGTGATATTCTGTCTATTGTTTCAACTACATTCTGTAAAGGGCAGTGATTTCCATTTTCTGTCCATATTCCAACAAATATCACCTGAAAAGACCGGAGCGTACAATGGTCGAAACGTAGTGAATATGGCAATAAAGATGAAGACAATAGTCCGAACAATTCAAAAAGCTCAAAATAGTTGGAGATTCATAAAAGTTTCCAGAATATTAGGAGAAAATAATTTTGTGAAACTGTACAAATCATTTCCCGTTTGGTGTACATATGTCTTATCAAGAAGACCAACTTGTTATTTATTTATAGGATCAATATATGCCCCTAACAATACACCTCCTTAGCCATCTTTTACTTCGTGTGGCTATCTCGAAAATACAGGAAATCGGCAAATTGCTAAAGCAATTTCATCACAAAGTCAATTGGTTCAACTAGCAGGAAATGTCTCGTTTTGGAAAAGTTTTGAGTTTTATGTACTGTAACCAAGTTGAATCTTTTCAAAAAAAAAAAAAAATGGAAAAAAAAAAGAGAGATGAGGGGATTACATTTGATTTTTTTTTAGATTTCTATTGCCAAAACGGAACATTGAAAAAAAATTCTCCCCTCCCCACGGAAATTATTAGAGAGCTTGTTGAACGACATAAGAAAAATTAAAACTGTCAATAAAATTCTTTGCTTTCTCAAGTAAGGCTGAGCAAAAATGATACCTTTTATTTGAGTAAAAATAAATCGAACCGGAAACAATTTTATAAAAATAAATAAAGAACAAATAATAAATAAAATAGAAAGTAGTCAAAAGAATTGGAATTTTATAGACCTTTTTTTTCTTCAAACGACCTCGAAGAAAGGAATCTTAAAGCGTGCACGCTTAAACAAAAGTTATTTCATTGCTTGTTATTGGCTCGTTTGTCAAAAGTCTGCTGTTTCTTTGATAACGAATTTGCTGAATACGACTTCAGAAAACTGCAGGCGAATGACAGAAATGTGTCTTTTGTTCTTCCTTTGCAGTAAAAAAAAAGACATTTAGAAGGGAAACGAGTGCAAGGATGAAAACTATCACCCATACTAAAGCTATCGCCAATATATATCTTTTTTGTTGGCATGCCTTTTATTATTATTTTATGTATCCTCACAGTATGTAGTGGCGCACAGCAAACGAATCAAGTGAAAACAAGTCGTTAGATTTTATGGAAATACGAGAACCGTTTTCCAATTCCAGTCGGGTTTGTTATATTCACTTATGTGTAAATGCACTTGGGAAAAGTAAGAATCTGCCACCTCAGTTATGGATTAATTAGTATGAATTATATCAGTAAATTTTTATTATCTTCAAAAAATCTTACAATCTAAAAATATTCTCTGGTTTTAAATAACCTGCAAAAAATTGTTAAGCCGTAAAAAACAAATCAGTCTGCCTTGGATTGAGTAATCGTTTTAACTCCAGAGGATTTTGTGTGTTTTATTTTCTATGACAAATTCTTGTCTATACGTGACTGGTCTGCATGTGTCAGTATTCAGTCACTTGCATAGTTCTCAGTGGAATGCCTTTCCCACATTTGCTGATTATGTGGTTTATAGTCTTATCTTTATTTCTACATTGTCTAGATTTACTACAGTTTTGCCAGGTGACATTTATATATAGCTAGTTCCTATGGCGTTGTTTTAAGTTGTTATTGAGCGCGATTCTATTTCTCAGCTTTCTCTAAGTCGCCATCCCGATTTATCTTCACAAATCTCGGCATATTTCCTTGGTTTCGGTTAATTCTTCTGCTTGTTCTAGTACAGCTTTTGTTTGCTATGAGTAGTCTTTCCTTTCTCTGTCGGGTGTACTATTTGCGTTCATTAACTGCGGGGTCAATGCAATCCTTGATACTGATTAGTCTTCTTCCGCCTCCTTTTTCTTTTAAAATACAGCTTATCGTCTATAGACGCATTATTATTATTGATTGGGAGCGACCGGTCAGAATATACAGAACCCAATATAGTGCAAGTGGGGTAAAATATAAAAAGCCTAGTAAACAATTATGGCATACACTTAGAGAAGAGTATACCAAACACATGCAGTGCAGTCAAATGTATGCGAAAAGGTATCGGGTTTTGAAATCGGCACTTGAACGTGTAGCTCAGTTAGAAATACCTTCAGATCTGTTAATCCAGGCCGCTCAGACAGTCTTTGATTGGAAGTGTTTCAATGTATCTAGATTTGGCTCCCAAGTCAACTTGGTTGCATTATGCTTTAAATTAAAAAAAAAATAAACTACTTCTGAACACCCGGCCATTATGGTTCTTAACTACTCTTACGCATGCGCTGAGATATCATTTGGGTTAGTCCCGAGCGGAAAGGCATAACTGGTTGTGATCAGGTGTCTGTGGTACTGAACGAAATTGTAGTCTATTTTAATTCCCCAAGAAAAAAAAAATTACAAGTTAACACCAATCAATTATCAGAAGCGTATCTAAACGTTTCACTCCAAGCAAGGTGATAATGCCACTAGGATGCCAAGAGATACTGGGAGTGAAAGAGAATGAGAAGACTTTAGTGAGGAGAAGTGAGGAGAAAGGACAATAAAAGACCAAGTTTCAGAAAGAAAGATGGCGATTGGTGTTGCAATAATATTTTTGAAGATTGTAGGTGACAAGGAAGTAAGAAATCCTTTAACATCTTACCTACATTCCTCATTATACTTGTTGACCTTACAACTAGCGTAGTCTGAAGAGTTCGTAGTGGACGAACTTTATGTTCTTATCAGTAAAACACTGGCTCTCGGAACTTACGAGAGAGAGAGAGAGAGAGAGAGAGAGAGAGAGAGAGAGAGAGAGAGAGAGAGAGTTTAATGTTTTGAATCTGACTATTTGTAACTATAAAAAAAGGGTTTTCACATCAATAGTAATTGGTGGATTTCACCGGAGATCAGGAGACAACAATTCCTTTAGGTTTGAGTTGATGTTATTTTTAATTGAGTTTGAATTGTTTCGTGTGTTTTTCTTCTTCCTTGGATTGCTCTCTCGATCACATTGCAAGCTATTCAGAATTGTTGAAAGTGCGTCCAACTGTCACGTCCAAGTTTCATTTTTTTCAATTCTTTACTTAAATACGGATATTATTTAAAAGTTGTCAACGTTGCCTAAAACAGTGGGATCCAGTATCTGATTTAATTTTACTCCTTTTTTTTCTTTTTTTTAAAAAATAAAACTAGACACCGGTTTTTGTCATCGTTTGGGTGTTCCGTTTGAATTTCAAAGTCCAAGAGAATTTAATGATTTTATTCTCTAAGATGGATTTGCTTTATACCGGTAACAGTAATGTTCTGATCAAATCCCTTAATTTGAACTATTCTCAGTAGGTTATTGTTCCCACCCGTTCGTATTATTGACGGTCACTTCTATCTTCACATTATTTATATTCATTAGTTTTCTCTGTACTCTCACTCATGGTGGTGGTGGTGGTGGTATTAATATCATCATCATCATCATCATCATCTTTTGGTTGCTTTTTGGTGCAATCTCTTACTGGGGCCTCGAATAAGGCAATATAATAAATATATATACACATTCTGATGTTAAGTGATACTTAACATGTAAAGGGGTTGTATTTTCTTGGTTTCCCGATCATTACAGTCTTAACCTGTTCAAGTCGATAGTTAACAGTTATCTTCCCCACATATGCTTATAAATTATACCCCCTTACCTCTTATTCTGTAACCTTCTACCTCGAGTGGCTTTTGGGCCTCATACAAAATGAACAATATGAACTATAGTACTCAGGCACGGTGGAGTAAAGGATAGCGTCTCGAATTGGGGAGCTGAGTTCGAATTCCACTCGAATCCATTACATTCACTTAGGTGCTAATATCCTTGAGAAAGGTATGAATTCTTTTCTTCTCCCCCTCAGCTATGGTTAAATAGCAGGACAGACCGAGTTCTATAGCCTTAGATGGCAACTGGTCTACCGCAGGAAGAAATGGCAACCTACTGCGGGAAAAATCACCCTCGTCAGTCATGTATCGAAAGATGCATGATCGTCTAATCGTGTATCCAGCATGGCACATAACTGACTGAATTTTGAGTATACGAACAGTTTCTCTGTCTATTTCTCCTCCTCCTCCTCCTCCTCCTCCTCATTATTATTATTATTATTATTTCTCCATTTTATTTTACATGCTAGCAAAGATGAAAGGCTGAAGAAAGAAAGATATTTGATTGATCATTCTTGGTGATTGGCAGACAATCTAGTCGATAAATAGGAGGTGGTGTGGCACTTGTGATAAATCTTTGAACTTATTTATCATCTTGGTAAAAAAGTGTGGGGAGCGGGATTCATCAAGAAGAATTTCTCATTGTTTAGGGGGTCGATCTCGTTCACACGCATGCCAGATGTCTTCAGAGCTTACGTTCGAATTCAAAGCTGGAAAATCATTGGCAATGAAACGTTTCTTGGAAGTGAAACATTTCCAAACTGTACAAAGAAGTTAATCTCTTTCATATTTGAAGTCGATACAGTGCCTGCCCTCATATTTTGAAACTTTACTTTGTCAATTTTCAATCGGAACAGTTTAACAAATCTTCGCTTAGTTAAATGATAAGAAAATTTGCTAAGAAATTTTTTTATGTTATTTCCTTTAAGGACGTAGGCGATCCTGATACTCCACATATTTGTCTTTATTATCTGTGAATTGCCATGTAATCTTGGAGAAAATAATGGAGTAGTTTCTCGCTGTCTTTTTTCTCTTTGACTGATTGCAACCTAAGGATAGAAAGCCCAGTTCATCACCAGCAAGCAGAGCCAAAACCTGCATCATTCCCGAGGAATGGTCATACCCACAAAGAGGCTCCTTGCCTCAAACGCCAAGTGATGTCAAATCTCACTCCAGATCTCATTTTCGAATGCTGTGAGAATGTTCGGTTCATTGTATAGCTCCATGAAATATCTATCTCCCACTGCTATGATATATATTTATGAGGGTAGAATCAGACAAAGAATGGAGTAATGCTGCCATATCTGGGCTGGTGCTGTCCAATCTTCACTTTCCAGCTTTGACAGAGTTCTATAATTATTACACGACCTTGTGGGTGATGAATTATTTTCCCCCAGCAACCCTTATCCCACAGACGAAATGTCGCTCGCCTTTCGCTAATATATGACTGTTACTATGTTAGATGTTTGAATAAGTAGCATGCCTTAGCGCTACCAGCTCAGACCTTCACAGCTCGAACACGCCATGCTGTGTTCACTGTAGCAAACCATCCCCATTCCCTTTGTGTTCACTTGATAAGAAGTAAGTTCTACTCAGACAGCTTCTTCTACAAAACTGTTACTTTGTGTAACTAACACCCGAGAGAATATTTCCTTGACAACTACACACTTGGTTTCTATAAATCCAGGGCCAACCGATATTCTACCCGTTCTCATAATACTCTCTTCCTCCCTTACAATCTCACTCATTAACCCTCTACTTTGAGGGGCCCTTGGGCCTTGTATTTGGCAAGCTATCAGTAAATAATAATAAAAAAATATTGCGGGTGGTAAGAAGATAAGTTTACGCTTTTCCCAAAATCATTTGTGTGAAAGTGAATGCAACAAATGTACCTGGAATTTGAAATCTGCTTAATGATTCTACTTTCCACATCGATAACAGTTACACTATCCGCACGCCTAAGAATATGATAAGTATTAAATGTCATATTATTCATAATGGCTATCGGTGTTTATACTGTATTAATTAGTCAAGCATATGACTCTGTGTGTGGGCGGCTCCCCACCCCGGATTCTTCTGGAGGGATTGGCAGGGGAGGAGAAGAGGGATTTTCCCGTCGGAGTAGATGCTGCAGTTGTAGTATCTTTTCCGTGCCGGAGACATTCTCTACTCCCCTACGTCCGCCACCGTTGCGTGACATCTGTTCCGTAGCAGTGGTATGGCCGGCTATGACTAGCTTATACGAGCTCTGAACAGCTTAGACATGCTAAGATCAGCCTAGACCAGCGGCCCGAGTGGAAACACTCGGGTCTTCACGTTAAAACCCGACCTTGTGTCACAGCCTGACTCAGAATTTTAAGGTAAATCTCGGGCTCTCCCCCCGGATTGTTCTGGAGGGATTGGCTTAAGAAACTGTGCACCTCGGCGTGGTGTAATGGTTAGGAAGCTTGTCTTGCTAGATCAATTACGACTGAATAGTGAGTTCGATCTTCACTGGGTGCCCCATATTTTCGGCCTTGTGCTACATCTAAGCTGCGATTAAATGTGGCACAAGTGGAACATCCATTGAAAAATTAAACTTACTATTATTTGCATAGTAGGCTTGTTCATAATTATAACACAGTAAGACAACCATTTAATACTATCACGCGAGTGTAAAGAATTGTACACTTCTAATTTTCCCAAAGAATGTCTGGATTTCGCACATGAAATGTATTCATTTACCATAGCGCATCTAGCTGAAGACTCCTTCTTCCACTTTTGTTAACAGAAAACATTTATTTCCGATTATTGCCTTGTGGATAATAATCAAATAAATTTGATATCAATGGAATCGGATCATATTGGGATTAAGCTTTTCGAAATGTTAAAGTTAATTTTCAAGATCTTTATCCATCAACAAGAATGCATTTAATTGCCATAGGAAGGCATTAAAAAAACAACAACAGTAAATACAAAAATTGAACAATTAAGATTCCTTTTAACTTTAACATCCATCACTGGAAGAAAAATGATTACCGAAATAATCATTTTAAATTAAGTAAATTGCATACACCTGAATGTGCATAAAACGGAAAATATGTTAAAAAAATCAATTTTTATTTTTGCTTCGAGAAATTCCGTTTAAATTAATGAAAGCATTCAGAATTTATCTCCTTAAGTTTCACGAAAATATTTTTTAAATCGATTTTAACTCTGGTACCACCAGATTGTTTTGCAGTTAAGACATGGTCAGAAATTTTAAAAATCGTATGTACAGGGTGAGTGAAAAAAAATCTTTGTTAATATGACCACATCTCACAGTTTTATTGTTGAACTAAATAGATACAACTACCACTTCTACTCTAACACTTTTCTCGTAATTCCTACCTGTGGAACTCCGTCCCGATTTCTTGCTTTCTTAATAACAGCAATCTTCAAAAATTTAAATGCAACATCAATTGCCATCTTCTGTCATCTTGAACACTGTTCCTTTTTTCCCTTTTCTCAATCCTTCCCATTCTCAATCTTCTCATTCTCTTTCACTCTATGCAACCACCTGTAGTCTAATGGTATTGTCGCCTTGCTTGGGGTGAAGCGATAAAAAAATGAAGTGGTAGATTTTCATTGCCAATGGGCGTGCTCAGTTGCATGGGCGTGCTCAGCTAGCATCCTGTCTCGGAATGTGGCATTCTGTCGTACAAGTGCAGAGATGGTGGCGCTGTGTTTATTGATCAGTAGATGCGGACACCATCAGAAGTTATCATTCCAAGCTGATGGGTACAAGATCTAGGGTAGATACCAACAGTCGTCCTTATACATCCAGATTGGAAGAAAATGCGCGAAATGTAGAACTTTAATACTGTACTCTATTTCTACCAGTATACTATCATAATAAATTACAATTTATGAAAATCAACCAAAAGTTAGTAACGTTATTAACAATTTTAAATTGGGAGTTTCTTTCCACCCATCCTGTCTAGAAATGACCGCGTGGCCGAGTGGTTAGAACGTTAGCGTTCAAACCATGAGATTCAGGTTCGAGTTTCACCATTCGATTTATTAAGGAGGAGATTTCTTGAAAATATCAGTTAATCCAAGTATACGGCATAACTAGAAAGCACCTGAAGACGATGGCAAATGTTGTGAGAGAAATTGTGTAGAGGAAACTGTTTGGAAGCCATC